CTTTTTCAGCCCCTGCAGCTGTAGCCTGGCTGGGATCGCCCCAGCCCCACTCCTTCCCCAGCTGTCACTTCTGAGTGGGGTGGTGGTGGGGCAGGGGGTGGGAACACACTACTCTCCCCTCCCTACCCCCCCAGCTGGGGCTGGTGTTGGGCTGGTGGGTGCTTTTCCTTTCCCTCACCCCCCACCCCTCTTGGAGGTGACATCTGAGGAGGGGGTGGGGCTCTGAGCTGCAGGGAATTGAAAAGCCCCCAGGTGAGCGCTTTCCTCTCTGCACCTGGCAGATCTTGGCTGGGTGGGGGCGGCATACCTGCCCCTCGGAGGCGATGGCTGGAGAAGGGGTGGAGCTTGGGTGATCCCAAACGGGTTCAAGCTGCTGTGGGGAGGGGTGAAAAGCCCCCCGGTGGGTGCTTTCCCCTCCATGCCAGGCAGATGTCAGCTGGTGGGAATCTAAAATATAACCTGTTTAAAGGTAACCTGAATCACTTAAGTCTGATACTACATCCAACTAGGTTTATCTTTAAATTGGTTTTCAGCCGTTTTGAGAGTAGTTTATGTGCAGTGAACTTCTGTTGTGTTACAGGTTTAAATCAGTTTCCAGTCACTTAGACCAGCTTATGTATAACTTCTGTCCCTAGCATTTCAGAGTTAAGTCAGATTCCCATTTGGACTCCAGTTAACAACAGAGAACCAGAATCATATACAGGTTTCCCTTGCTTTATGCGGGTTCTGTATGCGCAAATTCGCTCTTATGCGATGACCCTTTTTATACCAAAAAATTGTTATATGCGCGATAAATTCACTCTTATGCAACCCATGTGCAGGAAGCCCACCTCTGAGGGCAGCCGGTGCCTGTGCTTCTGGAGCTGCAGCTGCCCCGGGAATGACATGATGCCACATGCATCCTGCCACCAGGCGGGTGGGGGGTGTAGCACAGCACAACTCAGTGGCGCCACTCTCAGGGCAGCTGCAGCTGAGTGCAAAGCACAACACACAGCGGCAGCTGCCCGGCAGCTGTTGGTGAGTACCAAAATTATCTTGTAAAAGTGGTACAAATGGGTCTGGGGGTCAGTACAGTCAAGGTCTTGGAACGTATCCCTCTTGTTACATTGTAAAGTGGGTTCCTTTTATACTAATTCAAATTATGCGCTGTTTTCCAGGAATGCATGTACAGCATAAAGTGAGGGAAACCTGTATACACATATGTGCACGTACGTTAGAAAGCCAAGAACCTTTCCATTGGGTTAAGCACCATGATTGGTCCCAATTTTGACTACTTGTGTGTGACTAACTCCTTTGTCTAGACCTGCAACAGCACCCTCAAATGTGCCAAGCAGCTTAACAACAGACAACCCCCAGACTAGAAGCAGTGTAGTTGCATCTGTATGGAGCCAGGCAACTAATTGGCTCTGCTGGGTCTGTGCCAGTTAGCTGGCCTGCAGCACTGCATAGGCATAGCTGTGGTGCTTCAAGTAACATATTGGGAGTCTGCATGGTATGTTTGAGGACACTGCTGCCAGAATAGCATAGGTTCACACTCTTAACTTGCCTTGTTTGTTTGTTTTTCTTTGTATTGGCTAAATTATTTGTTCACATGCCTACACTACATCTTCATTCAGATGCAGATTATTTGTTTGTGGCATCAGAATGGTGCAAAACTGCTTACATAATCACAGCTGAATTTGTAGTTTTAGCAGTTTCAAATAGACCTGTCCCTTCATCTGAGCACTGTGTGCACTTTTAGCTCATTCAGTCTGGCTTGGAAACTCGGTGAAAACTAGTTTTGAAAAAGTAAATACATTCGTAAGTGTTCCCCTGCGGCCCCTGCTACATGTTACATATGTTACACAATTAACTGGTTAATCACACTGTAAATTTAGACCAGCCACACGTGCAAAGTAATTATCACACGATAAAAATGACTCTTCAGCTATAAAAACAGCCACCCAGATGTGAAGTTAGTGTTCACAAATGTCTAACAACTCTGTAGTTGGTTTCTATCCAGCTTCTTTTTGAACTTGTAGCAGGGCCCTAAATGTAACAGAAGATGTAAAAAAAACAGAAGGAAAGTTAGTAGACTGAGCCCTGCTTTCCCTTTTTGTTTTCCTAAAGAGTTGCAAGCTTTACATTGTTGATAATTGTGTGCCTTTATATTTTTGGGAAATAAATGCATACGGAATTCTTGTGAATTTTTTTTGTTGATTATAGACGGTTGCAGTCACTGCATAGAAGGGAATGGAGGGGCTAAATGTTAATACAGCCTCAAATAGCTTTACAGTATCTTTCAAGTAAAGTCCTTGCTCAGTCAGTGGACGGACTGTACAAGTAGCAAATCTTCTCACAGATGCATTCCTTGGAAGCCTCTTTATTGGACCCAGCAGTTGTCCCGCAGTTTCAGTGTGTGTGTGGTCTAGTCCAATGGCAGTTCCATCTTGAAGTCATTGGTGCTCTGTATGAGTGCTGGGCATCTGACCTGCATGAGTCTAACTGTAGGGGAATTAGAGTTTTTACTTTTAAGTAAACAGGTAAGCAAGATATAGTGTGGGGGAGGAAAGGAAGAGTCAAGTTAACATTTGGTTGTACTCAAACTGTCATCTTTACTATTATCAGAAAGAGTGAGAAATGAAAACGCATCTGAATTATAAGCGCAATATTATAGTTTTGAAAGCATCTCATAATTAGTTTTATGGTTGTGTTTTAACAAATAGCTGTCTCTCAATGTCTTATGATGAAAATAACTACAATTTAAACTTTCATATGAGGAAATGTTTTAAATCTGTAGTTTTTCCCTATTATAGGAATTGCAATGCAACAAGGTACAAGAAGGCCAGGTTTCACTAGAATGTGACGCATTATGCAAGGAAATGAAACAGAAAGCATCTGAGGTAATGTGTCTCTTGTGGTTATAATATATTCTCATTGCTTCAAGAAAAAAAAATGAGCACAAAATTATTTTTCAAGACCGTACCAGCAAGTAATAGAACATAATCAAATCAAATGTGCATGTTTAACAGCTGCTTTTTCAGATTATTGCTTTCTGTTTAATGTGGAATAATAGGTTTGTATATAGCCTGTAGACAGACTACCTGTACTTAATTAGTTAGGTGGCTATGCTAAAATAATACACTAACTTTATCTTGTACATCTCAGGAAGTTGGTAAAACCGGTTCTTTCCTCTTAAATAGTGGAGCACCATTTGGCTTCCAATGGCAAAATCTGTGGGAGGAATGAAAAATGCTTCAGAGTCTGTATATAGTTGATTTTATAGCAAACTTGGTTCATGCTTTCTTTGGGGGATGGGTTTGCATTTTTTTGCAGAATGAGAAATAGTATCTTTGAAATTTGGAAAATAAATTAGGTCCCAGTCCTGCAGATTGTTGGATTTCACTGCACGGACTCTGACTTCTTTCTGTCAGGAGAATTGTTTCAAGTTGTGATACCCTGGATTTCAAAACAGGATAAGGCTCTATCACCCTCTTTGAAGGAACTGCCTTAATGTTAACTATAGTTTCTATGTATGGATAGAATTGTCCCTGATTACTTGAAGCACTGCAAGGTTAGCTTTGTATTTACTGCAATTATTTAGAATAGCTGTGCTTGGGATATAGAACTAGCTTAAGAGCTGGTTGAAAATGCATTCAGCTAAACTGGGAGCTCATTCACACTGAGGTTAATCTGCAGTAAATCTGAGGTCATAGCACTTACTGTGCATTTATACCCATTAAATGATAGATGAGTATCGCTAATTGGCTGTGTAATTAAGGATTCTGAACAAGACTTTTACTAACTATAGGTGATTCTCATTTAGAATATTGCCAGTGTGACTTCAATTTCTTAGGAGAGTGACATTCTCTGGCCTTGTGTGTAATTGTAATGTCAGTATTCTCATGCCACTAGTACTTCTCAGTGTGAGGAAAGGAAGAGGGTCTGAAATGCTCAGTTATCCTACTTTGTGTACATTAGGAATGTATTTTACTTTGTACATGTACAAAGATTGCATTGGTCTTAACAAAGCTGATATGCCTTCAGTGTTGTATTTATTCATATTTTAATTTTTCTTTATATACTTTTAACGTTATTAATTAATTGACTGATATGCGAGTACTTGGGAGAGAGAGGGAGCTTGTAACTATGAAAGTTTTAAATTGTCATAGAACGAAATAATATGGAATACCAAATGATTGGCCAATAGCAACTTATACATGCATGCTGCAAAGGTTACAGTACAACATTCCTCATCAGTGGGTGCATCTACACATGTGCTTTACTGTGGAGTAGACTAATTAGCTCTGCAGTAAAGCATCCCCATCTACATGTGCGCTGGTATTAGGGTGCAGTAAATTAAATTAACTCTGCCGTAAGACAGTGATGTCGGGGACAGTACTATCTTATGGAAGAGTAAGTAAGTGTACTGAAATGCATGTGTAGATGGTGACAGGGTCTGGTTGGGGCATGAGGGTGCTTAATTGCAGGGGCTGCCTGCTGCCTAGCCACATGACTCTGCATGTTCTGTACTCTCATGCCCCAGCCAAGCCCCTCCACCCCCCAGTACTTGGGGCTGACTCCCCAATATCCCCTGCCAGCCTGGGGCTGCTCTGCCTCTCTGCCTTGATTCACATTACTGCTGTCTTGAGTGCACGTGTAGATGCTGTACTCAGGAGCAGTTTTCTCCAGTGCTAACTGCTCCAAAGTTTATTGTGTGATGCTAATTGCATGTGTGTATGCACCCGGTATGACTTTCCTTTTTTTTTTTTTTTTTCCCACCCAAATCATCCTGAAATGTGGGTGCATTTATTTCTGTTACTCACCTGTTCCCAGTCCAGCAATGGCATGATGTATGCTGCATGTACAGGGCCTACAGATGATCGCTTTATTGACTACTTCATTCAGAAATTCTTGGTATAATCTGGCAGATGTTTTGCAGGGTACATAGCATGCTACAGGAACACAAATCACATACCATACCAGTACACCAAATAGTATTGTAGGCAGCACTGCCTTGCACTTGGTCTGCCAAATGCATAGTCTACCACATGTCTAAAACTGGTACATATATACTTAAATCTTTTTTTGCCAGGTTGTCTGAGGTTGAGGTTCAATTTTATTGGGGCTGATAATTGTATATTCTTTCTGGTAGAGAAGTAGTGGGCACATAAGCATCATTGAAGGCTTCTCAAACTTTGATGGGGCCCATTCTCTGAGAAGCAAGATTTGCTTGGTAATATCTTGGCTCAATAAAAGATATTACCAAGCAAATCTTGCTGCTTAGAGATTTAGAAGTCTGGGATAACCAAGTTCCAGCAGCACTGGCAACCGACTCTGGTCAGGTAGGGTATTTCTCACTTGTGTACCCACTTTTTTTGTGCCCGGAAGGGCATTTTGTGCCCAGAAGCTCACCTGAGATCTTTCCCAACTTATATAGTTGGTCCAATAAAAGGTATTACTAAATGCACCTTGCTGATTTGTAATTTCCCTGGACCATCATGGCTTCAACAGCAGCACTCCTACAGTCTTTAAGGGTCAGAGTAGTCATGCCAGCTAGAATATATAGGGCATTTCTCACTTGTGTACCTTGCCACTGGTACAGAGGGCTTACACAGTGGCCTAGGAAGCACAAGGAAGGCCCATTTACTTATATAAGAGTTGTGGAAGTACTGTTGGTTATCCAACATCTTCATATGATGCAGTTTGCATCTCAATGAGCTAGTTATTCCACACCAGATGTACATGGGGAATCTGCAGCACGTTCTGTCTCCATTCTACCGTGAGTATAACCCTCTCAAAATCCTTGGTGCTCTACATGGTTCAGAAAGAGCTGCTGAAATATCATCCAGAGTCTTGCAGCACATTTACCCTGCTTAAAAAGCACTTAAACCATAAGTAGGAGGTCTGTAGCTTGGTTCCCAAATGAAAGAACAAAAATGAGGAGCATATAGAGCTTGAAATGCCTTGTATAAAGTGATTCATTGCTAAAACCACTTCTGCACAAGGGCCAAGAGGTTCTCCCACAGGACATTACAAACATTCTTAGAGAAGCGCCAGGTGGTGACACACTGAAAACCATTGTTTACACTCCCAGGAGTCATAGTGGGAAAAGTGTGGCTGTGGGTACCAGGCATTGGGGCTTGCACTCCTCTTCGTTAGGAATACACAAAAGCAGGCTTAGCTAATGTGTGTCTGCATGCATGCAAGCCAAGATGCAGATACATACTGTTGTATAGACATAATCAGACTCTTTGGCAACTCCAGTCGTCATTGAGTGGTAACAAGTGACCTGGCCACTCAAGTTCTTTGTCTGGTTTAAATCAGTGACCTGAATTTAAAAACGATGTGTCCTTAACACATTACAATATATGTAAATGGGGTATACATTCCCTAACATTTTCTTTATAATTTCCTTGTAATTTTCAGGGAAGACTTGCTAGTGCATTGAGCACAAAATCAGGAGCCAAGGACTCCTAGAATTTTACTGCAAGTAGTATCACAGATGGGTTCTTTCATGCCCAAGGTCACAAAACTACAAGTACCTGTATCTCATAAGAGTATGGATTAATCTATTTTTTGAAGTTGTAAAGTGCTATATAAATTCTCCTTCCTAAGTGATATTCTGCAGTTTGTGATGGCTCAATATTGACAAGGTAGACTGAGCTCCTATTGTGTGCAATCCACGTAATTATAGTTCAGTACAGCATGTCAAGATTGAACAGCATGCCCATTTAAAAACTTGAGCCATTTATAAGGGATCATAGAGGTGACCATCAGTTTCCAAAAATCACTGATGTGTGAACTGTACTAGCCAACATAATAGTGTCTAATGAATGTGCACTTTTGAGGTAATTTGAGATTTTAATGCATGTTTTTTTTTCTGAAACTGTTCTTCTATATTTTTTTCTTCTTCTGTCTCTTAGTGGAGAAGACAGAAGTGCAACAAGACTACATTTTTTTATAATCTTTTCTCACTGGTTCAAATTGAGCCACAATAAGCTAATAGTTTTGAGATCCTCTCTGTTGCTGTATATGAGCCTCTCTTTTTGCTCCTTTTCTTCATTGAATGTATACTTTTAAACTCAGCTATTTCAAGATCTGCTGCCTTACCATTAGGTGGCAGTAAAGTATCAAGAGACCTGGTAGTAGTAAGCTTTTTCATGCCACACTTCCAGTACATGTGGCTGACAAATTTGTTTGCTTGTTTTCAGTGTGGCTTTCCTTTAAAAAAAAATCACACTTTGTTCCTTTTTTTTGTAGACAGTTTGTGTAATATTGTTGTGGTTGAGATGTGTGATGACTTGGGGAATATGTGAGAAGCAAGATTTGTTTGGTAATGCCTTTTATTGAATCAACTGGATAGTTGAAAGAAAAAGTTAGATAAGATTTGGGACACAAAATGCCTTTCTTTTGGTCCAGGAAAGAAGCAGGTACAACCTCGGTTTGATTCAGAAGAACCCAGATACTTTGTAGGGTTAAGTTTACCCTATGAAACTGAGGGCATGCAAAGTAACGGGGGGTATATGTAGCTGTAGCAAACAGCTATGAAGAACCACTGAGATGTTCCAGTTGTTCATTGCAGCTTTTATTTCAAAGGGCACCACATCTCCAGGAAGGGCATGGGACCATTGATGAGCTCCAGCCAGTTGGAGAAGTGGCACTCTTTGAAGTAAAAGCCATAGCAATCAGCTGGGCAGCTAGTCTTTACTTTGACAACTGTGTGTGACTTAAGCAGGTTGCAAACCACTGGATACAAATGATCTGGTTGTACCAGCTGCTGTACTGTTGTTTAACCCCATTATGTAAATGAAGGTGATCACTTTAAAAGGGAGATTGGCAGCACACTGTGAAACAGAAGTTATCAGAAATAGTTACAGACCAAGGGAAGAACAGTTTAAAG